ATAATATCACGATTTATATATTGCAATAGCATTTCACACGAAAATATATTTAAAAACTTATTTATCTGGAAATTATTGGAACTACGAATTCCGGGACCTGTTTGATTAACACATCTTTGCACTTACACAAATTTTAACTTTATCCTTAATATTTTAGAAAAGAAACGATTTTGTTATGTATTAATGAAAAATATTACATCTATGAAAAATCATATTTTAAACTGTCATTTTCATTGAAAAATTAAGAAATTCAGTCATGAATATGGGAGTTTTTTCTAAATCAGACAAATTAAATGTATCCAGATTGCCTACAGTCTCTCAGAAAATGGTAATTTGTATGTTCTTAGTCTCTTCTTTAAAATAATATTAAATTGAATATAGGTTTCGGGATTACTTTTCACATGATTTCAAAATGAATTCCAGGAAAATACTTTATTTTCTACATAATTTTATTACAGCCATAAAGTACTGGAAAAAAGAAAGTTTAATTTGATTATGACGTCATAATGGATCTAGCACCAAAAAGACAGTGTAAAGTCATTTACTAGATCTTGACCTTAAGATTTCAATTGAAGCAGCTTCTCTGCTATGATAATGGTCATTTACTACATATTTTGCCTGTACTTCATCAGTAGGCAATGTACATTTTCATTATTATATACCCGGTTTCTCTGATTTTCAGTTCTCGTAATTTCCTTGAAATAAAGTCTGATAGGAATAATTTTAACTCTATTAAAAAATTTGGTTATGGTCAACATGTCGGACTATTGGGCCGTCGGACTATCGGACCGTCGGACTATTGGGCCGTCGGACTATCGGACCGTCGGACTACCGGGCTGTCGGACTATCGGACCGTCGAACTATTGGACCGTCGGAATACTAGGCTTGAACCGAAAATTATTTTACAAACAAAATGAACAGTCTGCACTGGCGGACGACGAACACTTTTAAAGTAAAGTGACTCTACTTTTCGAACAGAAAAGCTTCATTTAGCGTTTAGCTATGTTGAGCTAATAATGAAATATTTAAAACATATCATGGTTATTGCGTTGTACCTTATAAAACACGTATTTGACGTTTTGTGCAAAGTTGCTAGCAGCAAGCCTCAGCAGTTGAGTATGTCAGAGACATATAACAGAGGGACCGCTGACTCATTTTCGCGCCAAATTATCTTCCTGTTTTCGCAGCGCCCCCACCGGGAGGCATAGAAAGACTTCCTGTCATAACAGCTGCTGTGTTGTCTTCACAGCCTTTGGGGTAAATATTGCGATTATATTCTATATTTTATTATATATAGCCTGTACGTCAATTACTATTTACATAAGGCGATATCTTAGATGTGATTTTCCAGCTATAACGAGAATTTAAAAAAAAGAAGTAGAACTTAGATCATCAGATGTTGACACGCAAGTCATGGTCACATCGATACAATACATGTAATTTGAGTTAAAATTTTGTCTTGTATAGGTTGTTCCCTTATATCATCAGGATAATTGTAGACTCAGGCCCGTAAGAACCGGTGAGCAAGGGGAAAATAATTTTGCCAGTATACAGGCACGTAGTTAAGTATCATTTTTTAAAGGGGGGGGGGGGTTATATCTGAAAATCTTGGACAAGCAAAAAAAAAAAAAAAAAGTAAAATTGTCAGAACTCGAAAATCCTATTTCATGGAGAAGGGGGGGGGGGGCAGTTTTCAGTGGATATTTTCAACAGTAAAAGATTGTGTAAAAGGGTATGTTTGGAAAAGGGAACCCCCCCCCCCCCCCGATACTACATCTTACATGTCAGAGTGTATACAAAGCCTAAACATTAGAAACTACTGTACAGTTACTTTAATGTGTCCCCTAAGAAAAATATTAAATTAAAGTCAAACTTTTTTTTGGCTCAACCAAAATTTCTAAAATGGGTTGTGTTCCAGAAACTGAAATTCCTTCCCACCTGTGGGGCCTGAGAGTTTCTCAACATAAGACCTGATGATAGTCATGGGATGTATTATTTTATCATATAAAATGTTGAATGGTTTTATGTAATCTGTCATGTGATTGAATTTTTGTATATCCAAGAGTGAATAATCAGCATGTTAATTTTTTACATCATGTAAACATGTACTAATTATTCACTTTAATGAAAATTGTTTCTTCATGTAATCTCCAGGTATGAAATCACTTTCCTCAGCAACAGATACAGCTTGCCAGCGGTAAAAAATGCAGAATGCTTATTTTAATGTGGGACTTTATTCCCACCACCATAAATCTCTCAAGTGAGTGGCAATTTTCTTTCTATTATGTCACAATGATTTAAAAAAATGTATCAACCTGCTACATGTAACTGTTAACATCTAAATTAATTTGCATCAGGATCGATGTCGAATGCTGCCTTGATTTAAAGATAATTATGCCCTTTGTGAGGGGATGCTCCGCCTCGCTGTGCCCTTGTTTTAGGGGGAGAATGTTTTTTTTTTTTAAACTGCTTTTGTAGTGTGTGTGTGTGTGTGTGTGTGTTGTTTTTTTTTAAATATACATATTTATAATGGACAATTGCCTTAACCCAGGTTTTACAAGTATATCTCATGGAGCTATTAATTCTTTTATTTATTGATTTTGTATTTTCATATTTTCAGATATTATGGTACCTCTACTGATTGACTCAACAAGATTCTGAAGTTTCCTGTTGTCTTCCCAGAAGACCTTGGACCTTGACCTGCTTTATAAGGGTGTTTTAAGTGAGATCTTAGGATGAAAAAGGCGAAGAATAGTAGTTTAGTAAGCTGCGAAGCTTAAAATTGTACCATGCTGCTGCATCAAACTTGGTCAAACTCTAAATGCCATTGAAACAACCATTGGCTTGTATCGCACCACTGTTGCGCTGTTTTTCAACAATACTGCAACTGAATTAATGATATCCTTAACTTTTAATGGTAAAATCTGAGCTATCTCTCACTCCAGGACATTTATAAAGGTTTTTTTCATGACTTCCAAGAATTTAATGATTGAATATTTTTCCACTCCTTGGACTGTAAATTCTGAGTAAAGAAAAGATATATGTGATGTACATTTCAAATTTCAATGTGATGCATATGAACTGGAATTTAGTGCAAGGCCTAAATGTGTGACAATAAAACTAACTTGAAGTCAACCAATACATACCGGTATTTTTGTCTTTTTTGAACACCTACTTTTTCAAGTATATATATATATATATATATATATATATATATATATATATATATATATATATATATATATATATATATATATATATATATATATACAATGTTATGTACATACAAGAGTACATGTTTGTCATTTAGATTTGAATAAAAGACAAAGTAATCAAGTACCTCTACATATTCACAAAGATCGAGTCTTTATCATCCTCTCACTGATTTTTTTTTTTTTTTTTTTTTTTTTTTTTACATTTCATCAGATTTAAACTGTTTAAAGCTTTGTTACATATAAATATACTTTGTAGTAAATAAAGGGTTTTTGTATGGGCAAAACATTCTTTAACTGTGTCAGCTTGCAGGGCTGATATACATGTAAATAAAGTATTCATTAAATTTTATTTTGGCTTAATAAATTTTAAGAATGCTTGAATTGATTAATATGAATGAATATACTGTAAATTTCAAATTATTTCATTTTTAATTAGAATGTAGATCTAACAGAAGGTCAGTCTTCCTGCATATAAGTACCACATAATACGTCTAAAGTGTGCAATGAATAGAGGGCTCCTAAAACCATTATGATCATTACTTAAGTTGCATAGACCGAGTGCACTTTGATAGGGTTTTCTTGATAAGCATCACTTTAGTTAATTTTTTTTTTCATCTAACTTCTTTAAAGCAAAATGGCACTTGTAACAATGTTTTAAAAATGCAGTAAATGAAAAAATGTATGAGTTGCTTGATTAGATTACAAGTCGCAATCTATGCTTGGTTTCAGGATGGTGTATTTTGTGTTTTTAGATATGTTATAAATATAATAAAAAATCAAATATAAAATAATATATTTTATATACAGCAATATGATTTTTTTTTTAAAAAAGCTAATTTTAGCGATTTTTTAGTTTAATTTTATTGAATGTATATATTTATATAACGATATATATAAAAAAAATACGGGAAATACACCAACCTAGCTGAATGAAATCTAGCACCTATACGTATACATGTAGGTAACCGTGCACTAAATAATATAATGCATGCCAGTGCAAAACCAACACGGCAAACAAATGGCCTCGTCAAAAGAGGTCTTCTTATCCTACACAATAAAATACATGTTACAGTGTATTTCTTAGTGTGGAGGTTGTAAAGAAGACAAGCCATCAATCATGAACAAATGCAACTCGAGTCGGGGTTAGAAGATCGATTCCATCTATTTACTGTAGATAAATTTGTTCTCAATTCTTTGTCGTCATGAAAACGAAAGTAACTCATCCCCCGACGATTAATGCCACGAGTAAATTTTGCTTAAAATTGGAGTTGTAGCGATGTTTACTACCCATGCTATGATGAAACGCCATACTGTTAATAGTTTCTATGCCTCCCGGTGAGGGCGCTGCGAAAATCGGAACATCATTTTCCATTCGGAATTAAAGTACCCAGCTTAAAGTGAAAAGTCTAGAGACGCCCCGAATGAGTCAGCGGTCCCTCTGTTATATGTCTCTGAGTATGTGTATAAACAGTATTTTACAGAGGAAATTCGAAAAACTGTCCTACTCGATTTGCTAAGCGTACGTTTATGAATTTAAAGGAAAAAAAAGTAGAGAAAAAATTTAGGAGAAAAACAATTTTATTTCAAGCATTGGTGTGAGAAATATTAAATATCATTCTGTAGAAAAATTAATGATGTTGATTAACAAGCAACTTTAAAAAAAAAAGTTTTTTGGTTAAGAAAATGCTTTGACTCCAAGGTTTCTAAACGCACACTTCACCAAATAGCGCCACCTATAGTTTGGGTTTCACACGCTTTGCATCATTATAAAGCTAAAGTCTGAGACTCGAATGAGCCTGAAGCTGTTTTTCTATAGCTGTATTAGGCCTAAATTTTGTAATTCTTTCTTGTGAGTTTTTAATATATACAAATATGAAATGAATCGTGTCCATAAAGATTTCGCTCGCCATTGGTTGTGATCCGTGTGGTTTTTACCATATCTGAAGAAAATTCTTCTCCACAACTTTGTTTATTTTTTTTTTCTTTATCTGTCTAGTATCAAGTGAAATTGTATGTATACATGGATAGAGGACGAAGACATGAGGAGTAACTTGGAATAACATTGATTTTATATAGCTGTGTGCTCCCACGAGTGTGTGTATGCCATTGTAGCTCAGTAGTTTTGCCTGTGGATGATAGAGTTTGGGGCACTCAAGTAAGAGTTCGAATCCTAAAGTGAAGAATTTTTTTTTTTAGGTTAGGAAAAAATAGAGAAGAGCGTTTATTTTTCTCAAACTTATATTGTGAAGTGCATTTAGATGAAAAAAAAATGATTATATAACTTGTATGATACATTGCCAATATTTATTTGTGCAGGTCAAATCTATACGCATGTCAAGTACAGGTGTGTGCACCCACTGTGGTTGTACAGAGATTGACAAGGATCCAGCAAGGGGTGATGCTGTCTGCACAAACTGTGGCTCTGTGTTGGAGGACCAGATTATCGTGTCCGAAATCCAGTTTGAGGAGCATGCTACTGGGGCATCTTCGGTAATTGGACAGTTTGTCTCTACTGATGGTATGTATGTTTCAACTATAGATGGTATGTACTTGGAATCTACAAAATTCAATTTGTTATGGATAGTTGGAAAGGAGCATTAAAATACACATATAATAAACAGGTACTGATAATTCATATAGTGTGCCCTAAAACCCTGTCACAACAAGGTTGTGTCGATCCTCACATCCTTGAAAAAAGCAGAATGTCAAAGTACACTTAGTAGAGTTAGTCCTAGAGCACTGCAGCAACACACTGGCACATCTCCAAGTGACGCAGTTAGGTAGTTAGGTCGCTTAGAATGCCATTAGACGGTGCACACTTTGAGCATGCACAAAGTATGTGCCATATGGCTCTGCATTTTGATGTACACACAGTACGTAGAAATGCCATAGGATACTCAGAAGCATGATAAGTCTTCAACAGTATGAACACAAGGTGACAACTCCTAGCACATCATGAGCATGAGACTCAGCTCTGTAGAAACGCCTCGGTCACTGTCAGGACACCATGTGACCATGACATCATCTTTTGAAACTTTCAAATAAATTTGCATTATTTTTCTGATGAATTTTCTGATATCCCACGGTAATCCTGGAAATTTCACAATGCTGTACCAAATCGATGGGAATGCATCCAGCCCTGGTGTGACAGAGGCTTCATCAGGGTATCACACACAAGAGAAATATTTTTCTCCTTTTCATTATTTCATGTTTATAGTAAAATAAAGTAATCTTTCAGGGAATGCCAAAATGCTATTTCTTGTCTTTTTTTTTTTTGGAAGAGGGTGAAAGATGTAGACTAAATAAAAATGTACATGGACTTTCAAGTATGTATATAATTCTGTCTTTTTTTTTTCAATATATAGCAGTTGGCCTTTTTCTGAAACTAAAATAACTTTCACTTACTATTCAAAATTAGAAGGGAAATGTTATAAACTCACAGGCACATTCTATTTGTAGTCAGTATTTAAACCAGGACTCTCAGCAGTCACATCGGGACTTCTGGTTAATTTTAAATGTTTGTTTATATCTATTTTTCAGGCTCAAAATCACACTCATTAGGTATCAGTTTTCCTCATGGAATGAAAAGGGAATCACGAACAGTTACATTTGATAATGGTATGTTGTTTTCTTTCGATCAACCATTTGAACGCACTATCTTTTTACTTTGTATTGTGATTTTATGATTGTACAAGTAGTGCAAGCATTTTACTAGAAGGTTTCTCAAAGGTATACCCAAAATTGCCCCCAGAGCATATCATTTTATATAAAAACTCATTTGGCCTAAAAAAAAAAAAATAAAATGATAATAAAGATGATGTAATCTGTGTCTGTCATATCACAACTAATTTGGGTTCCAACACAGTATATATAAGAAAACAAATATTTATATTCTTTATGTTTGATTTAAAAGAGTTTAAAGAAGTCATATCTTTCAGTTTTCCTCTGGTTTTAAATGCAGCTTTTTCTTTATTAAAATATGGGATGTTTAACATAAAAATCAATATATATTATAATACTAGGGATGTCAATTTCATTTGGTTAGCCTAATGGAATAATCAGGGGCTTTGTTCAAGTGAAAGTAGAGTACTCATTAAAATACTTTTTTCGTGTCAGTGTAGCTTCTTTGTCCTTTATTCAGACTGCTTGAACACTCAATACAGTCCAACTTGTATTAAGTGAACTATAAAGGGAAATCTTGACATGGTCACATGTGACAGGTAGTCTATTTAATCAGGGGATCAAATTCTAGCAATTTCCAAAGTACACACATGAATACTAAATAGCAATACATGTACATGTACTAGGTTACTTTTTTTACCTGTGCCCTGTCATTCTTCATAATTTTGAGTCTATCATTCTTCTTGGTAAAATATTCAATAAATATTCATTTGTTAAAATTGTTTTTATTAGCTCACTTCAATGAAGTTGGGAGAGCTTATGTAATACCCTCGGCGTTGGCATCCCAGGTTAGAGTTTTTGGAGCAGATTTCTTTTCAAGTACTTCTATGCCCTTTATTAATCAGAGATGCATGGGGGATGCTTCTAGTATGTTTTGTTGTACAAGTCAAGGTTTCAGATGCTGCAATTTCAGCTGAAGAATGACCAGGTTAATGTTTTTGGAGCAGGTTTAAAAAATAAAGTTCTTGGAACAGGTTAAAGTTTTTGGAGCAGGTCTCATTTTCAAGTAACTATAAGCCTTTATATACCCGGTATTGACCAAACTTGATGGATGATACATCTGAGCTCACTTTTGATCTCAGTTTCACTTTTACCAAAGGAATTAATACAATGTAGTAGGAAAGTTAGACTCAGATCAAAAGTGAGCTTGTCTAAGTTTTATGGCCCCGGAGCCAGGTTGAAGTTTTTGGAGCAGGTCTTATTTCCAAGAAACTTTAAGCCATATGTAGACCAAACTTGCATGGATGATACATCTAAAGATGCATACTACCAGGCTTGCTTCAGATGCTGTATCTGACCTACATTTTCTAGATGAGTGACCAGGTTAAAGTAAACTATAAGGCTATCTGAATCAAACTTGCATGGATGATGCATCACGGGATGAACACTCTCAAACTTGTGTTCAGATGCTGGATATGACTTAAATTTTCTGGATGAGTGACTAGTTTAAAGTTTTTAGGTAAGTCCATTCCCAAGTAACTGTAAGCCCTATCAGACCAAAATTGCATAAATGTTAATCTAGGGATGCACACTACTAGATTATTAGTTTGTGACTTTGCCTTACTTATTATTATTATTATTAGCGCGCAGTTTTACAAATAAAATGCAATCAATGGCGCTGTACATGTACATGTAATTAAAATGACCTAAACAAAGTTAAACAACTAAATAAAATAAGTATAAAAACTATTTTAACTGAAAATAAAACAAAGTTCTATAGTTAACCTATAATTAAAATGTCAATTGAATGCACTTCTAAAATAAAAAGCTTTTAAATGTCTCTTAAAAACGTTAAAATCACTGATGGTTTGTATGTTAGGAGGTACCTCGTTCCACACGGAAGGTCCTGAAATGGCGAAGGATCTTGAAGCAAATGTTTTGCGTTTTGCAATGGGGACGGTGAGAGTTTTAGCCAAATTATCAATGGAGCGAATCTTGTAAGTGGAAGTTCTAATGCTAAGCATTTCCGGCAGATACATGGGACTGTCACTGTCATTAGGACACTTAAAAACAAGACAAGCTATTTTAAATTTAATCCTATAGGTAACTGGTAGCCAATGTAGAATTTTAAGAGCTTCTGTAGAACTGTCAGTTGATTTTAGTTTAAGCACGAGTTTTGCTGCTCGATTCTGTAATAACTGTAGTCGTTTGATGGTACATTTTGGCAAACCGTATATCAAACTGTTGGCGTAATCCAGGTGACTTATTACTAGAGACTGTACTAGCTGTTTACATGAGTCTTCAGTAAGGTATTGGCGAATGTATCTGATGTGGTAAAGATTCATCGAAACTTTGCTATATATCCAAGATATTTAATATACGGGAGTGCATGAACATTTGCACCAACCACATTGATCGATTTCGTCAAAGACGCAGATAGCATTTTTTGACTTCTGAATAATATACATTCCATTTTACTTGGGTTAAGTTTAAGTCTGTTCAAATTCATCCAATCATTAATTTGAAAGTTTTCGGTTGGTTCTGAGCAAACTATCTTACCACTATTCCGCACCATAATTAGATCAAGCGTATTTCCGGATCAATGTGTCGGACAGTTTACAAGCTGTGTCAATCCCATAACTTCACAAAGTTCAGTCAAGGCAATAGTATCTGGGTCGTCACTTTTATTGTAATGGATGTTAAAATCACCACAGATGATAACAGAGTGGTTCGTTGTGGCAAACTCTTCTAGAAAAGGTGTAAATTCGTCGAAAAACATCGTTGTAGTCACTGGATGAGTTGCTGAGTAGGGAGGACGATACACATTCAGGAAATGAATAGTTATTGATTGAAATTTTAATTTATATATGGAAAATTCAAAAGAATTTTTTTGTCCAGAATTAACCAACTTGATATCAAATGTGTTTCTGTATATGATTCCTGTTCCGCCACCAGATCTCCCTTTGCGGGGCACATCAATAAAATTGTAACCGGCTACATGCAGATCAGATCTGACCATTGTATACTTCGGATTGTTGTCTGCTAACCAAGTTTCCGTAATGCAACAAATGTCTAATTTGCTTTCAGTAATATGGTGAAGAAATTCATCTACCTTATTACATATTGACTGTGTATTAACGATCGCAAAAGAAAGATTTTTGTTCTCAGAATAATCAATGAGTCTTTTACTCAGAGGTCGTAATAAATTCAGATGAATACCATTATTCCAGTCTTTTTATTTTACCTTTTTTCTTTTTTGACCGATGACCGCGGTAACGTCTCTTGATTCCAAGGAGTTTTATTTTGTTCCACACACTTACATCAAGTCTTGTAATAAGCACATTGTTATACCTGAGTGCCATCAGCCATATATGGCAAGAAATTGGTACTACGTTTTTAGGTGACACTTTTGTACCCTAGGGTACACTCTTATGAAATGTATGGACAAAAGGTTACAAAAAGGGTACAGCACAAAACCATTGGAAAATGAAAGTAGCAAATTATCCAAGGTACCTCTAGGTCACCAAGGTACAGTGGGTACAGTGGAGACAGGTGGATTGCTTTCATTGGCTAATAACAGACAGGTACACGCCCACTCGTTACCTGTCAATAAGGAATCATTTACCTGCAGTCTATATCTACAGCATTTTGAAAATAAATCCAAATAATATGCATAAAACAGCCATAAAATCCGCAAATGATATCCTCAAATGCCTTCCTGATGTTTTTCCTAACATGCTGACATAAAAATTCACAGTTCTACGTTTGAAATAACGCTAAAATTTGATATTATAACAGAGAGTTCAAAAACATGCAGCCATTCACACGGCGCACCCGAACATATCATACTTACAGAACATTCATTGAGGTGAGCTCTGTAATCTCTTATTACCTATGTTTCCTAATTGCATTAAGTGTAAATTTATATTTTGAAAGAAAATCAAAGAAGAAAAACAAGAGATGTTTGTGAAACACTTATCTCCCCCCCCCCCCCCCCCCCCCAATAATTGGAATTTTTTTTAAGTCCAAGGGGCATAACTCTGTCAAAAATTGCTCGATCGTACCCAAAACAGAACTTGACATAGATATTTTTATGATAAATCTGTATACCAAATTTCATTTCAATATTTGCAACCTCTTCAAAGAAAATGAATGGAAACTGCAAACAATTGGAATTTTCCTAAGTCCAAGGGGCATAACTCTGTCAAAAATTTCTTGATTGTACCCAAAACATAGCTTGACTTAGATATTCTTATGATAAATCTGTAAACCAAACGTCCTTTCAGTATGTGCAACCTCTGCGAAGAAATTGAATGGAAACTGTTGATGGACTGACAGACAGATTGACCAACCAACAGCACCAAAACAATATGCCCTGCCTTCTTTGAAGGGGTGCATAATTAATGAGAACTATTTATTCGTGCCATAATTTTCTGACCTTAAATTTCCCTATGACCTTAATCTTTCTATTTTGCATAGTACAAGGAACATTTCATCATGCAAGAAAAATATACCTTGGATGGGGTTCTCATGGGTGCACTGTAATAAATAAATCAACAAGATTTTTTAAAGTTATTCATAAGAGTTCAAATCATTGCCCCCAGAGTTAGGTTGGGACCACATCAGGCAAATAAAGTTTTTTATATCTATCTATCTATCCATCTATCTATCTATATATATATATATATGAGTCATATGGCCCATGGGCCTCTTGTTTGTTTACTGAAAAATTCAGAGATGTCAACCTCTAAGGGTATTATTGTGATTATATAAACATCACCAAATTTTTTCTTTCAGGTCGAAAACGAATTCAACAGCTTGGAGTCCAGTTGAAATTGAATCAGCACTGCATAGATACAGCTTTCAACTTTTTCAAGATGGCTGTAAACAGACGAATGACACAGGGTAGAAAAACAACTCATGTTATAGCTGCCTGTCTGTATATTGTGTGTAGAACAGAAGGCACACCTCATATCCTTCAGTGCTTTAAAAAAGGTTAAAATAAAATGGCGATAGAGTAAATTTACCATCATAGCACCATGTTATCTGTATCTATGTACCCGTAAATAATACAAAGTAAAGGATTTCAAATGGTCTCTATACTTTATCAGATTTTTTATTAGAAAAAATATTACGAAAGTTATTAGCCCTTTTGTTCAAGACTGGATGATTTTTTGTTTATGAATTAAAAAAAAAAGCGTAGAATGATACTGGTTTTCCATTTTTTCTGATCTGAATTGAATATGAACTGCCACAGAGATAAAAAGAAGAAAAAAATCTGTTGATTAATTTTCAGTATTTTGATATTTATTAGACCTTGACAATTATTTTTACATATGCTGCTGGATATAAGTGACCAGTTACAGGTAGGAATTTAACATACATTTTGCTACCAGTACTTAAAATGGTGGATCCTTTTTCTCTTGCCAAAAAATACTTCAAGTGCTGGTTATGAATGATTGTACAGCATGAGGATCTTTGAATCCTGTTTGTCAGTGCCAGTAATTGTAGAACAAATCTAATTCTTTATAGTAAATTGAATTCTATAGAAATTCATTATGTTCATTCAATATTGTCATATCTAGTTTTTATAGTCAGATAAGAATGGGAATGTTTAAGAATCTATTGACATTTTATTTTTCTTACAGATAAATGTATACAGTTTAGGAAAAACCTATCTCCAGCTCTCCAGAGCTCTGTGTATCAACATTCCTGCTATAGGTAATTATAAAAGTCCCATCCCTAATATTTACAATAGTTACAGTAATGGAATGTGACAAGAATGAATTTTAACCAAGAACAAACAGTACACATATGGAAAATTTTATTGAAATCATTCTAACAAAATTCTGAAAATATTAATACACAAGGAACCCAAAATTGTTACTGATTCATTCATGAATGGCATATGATAATGAATATACTAGTGACATGATGAAATCCATGGACAAAGCAGCTAAGCTAATGACATCAGCTGTAGAAGATGATTTCTGGGATCTGTCCTCCTTGAACACCGGTCCCATTTGTACTGTCTGATGAACACTGAAATTGAAATGTGACTTTTCCACATTGAACTTCCGTTAGTCCTTCCTGACCGAAGTAACTCAGCTCCACTCCGTCCAACACGGCACTAGCAGTGTAGAAAGTGTCAGGTTCTATCTGAATTGGATTTTCAAACAAAACTGCAAAAGTATTGCTTGATCCATCTGAGAAGAACTTTTTGTACGTGTGACCAAGAATAATTCCGTTTTTCTTTAATTCAATTTTAACTTGATACTCTGCTGCACCATTACTGGATCCATACAAACCAAAGCCTGCTACAAAAATACGTGTGTCAACGGCAAACTGAATACTGTCACAGCGCCCTCTATACCTCCACTGGTTACTCCTGTAAGCTGACGACTGAAATCGGTGGCATTTAAATGGTGTAAGTCCAGAACGAGATTTCTTGATGAATTTTAATTCAGGTTTATTTCTAGCCAGATAGTGAAGGAAGATATCGTTTGCTTCCTGTAAAGTCAGTATACCAGATTGAGAAGGTCCATTGGCATACTCTTCCAAACCCATAGTGGGCATTCTAATGAGATATAGAGCATCCCCTAACACTTTACGTTTGTTTTCCGGAGTGGTTTCGAGATTTGTTCGATTACACTCAGCCTCTGCCCACTTACAGGCAGCAGTGAACACAGATATTTCTCGAGCATTTAGGGTTTCTCGACTAAGGACCGTTTTAAGGGTATTAATGTCAATTTCACAAAAACTATCAGAATGAAGAGCCTCTTCAGCCTGTGCATCAATGACCTCCCAACACCGATGCATTAGTTCCTGCTCCTCAAATAGTCTTCCCTGGCTCAGAAGAATACAAGCATTTCTGGCACTAAGACTAGTTTCCAAGAAACGCACACAGGATTTTGCTAGATGTGGCACAATGTACTTTTTAGCTGCATATAAAGTTGCCAAAACATTGTCAGGCTCCAACTGAATTTCATCACAGTAGATGTATCTGTAATGAAAGAGCTGTTCATTAAAATCTTTGGGGATGAACAGAATTCCATAATTATTGGGAAAAAATCCTTGCAAATAAAATTTAAAGCATAATAGGGCTAAAATTTATTTGAAATGATACCAGGAGGATTTTGCTATTTGAAGGATAGAAATAACAAACAGAAGGTCTGTGGTTCTTTAAAAAAAAGTACTTTAAAAAGGATGACTGCATTGAACACTGGGTTTTGAGTTCTTTTTCAGTAGCTTCTGTTACTTTCATATCTAATTTTATTTCTATTAATTTGTCAAAGAATTTGGTCAGTTGGTGCTGAATTTGAATATCAAAATGATTTTTATAGACTGTGATATAATTTTAAAAATCAGTTCTTTTGTCCGTTGCTGCTTTGCAAATCTCAAGGAGCATTTTCATTTACCTGCCCTTGATTGAAGATTAGGTTGATAAATATGCATGAGAGGTGGAGCAAATACTGTAAGAATGGGTCTAAAATTGGACTCTATCATAACAATAGCATGTATCATGCCATGTAAAGAAAAATATATATACAGTTGAACTTCGGGATCTCGAACACTGGATATGTTGAAGTGATTTGCAAGTCCCAAATGCTTATTCCGTAAGTATTTTATTTTATTTTCTCGAATCCTCAGATATCTCGAAGTTTTTTCTCGGTCCCATCAAGTTCGAGATAACGAGGTTTGACTGTACATGTGATACCTCTCTCTTTCTCCTTTCTATATGGCACCAGTATTTACAAAGATTTCAAATTAACAGTATGGTCCAGTCTACGCGAAAGTCTAAAATTTTTACAGGACATTCGGTCTGGTAAAAATATATAATTTACCAGACCAATCATTTATTTACCAGACCGACCTTTTTTCTTTAAATTTATGCATTATTATGATACAGAGATTGAAAAAGGGGGTTGGGGTAATTCTCACTGTTAAGTTGAACCTTAAGTTAATCCAGAGATAAGATTATAAAAATTATTTTATTGAAATGAACAAGCTTACTTAATAATTTTTCTTTTTAAAAGGTAGTATACAAATGCATAAAATTTTCTATTTTTTTCTGCTTATTTGACACAAACAAAACGAAATATACATTTTAATTTAAAATGCACTTTAATGCATATTTATTTCTTTTCTGAAATAACTCATAATGGTTACTCTTGTTTAATAATGAAAATAATTTCCCCAAACCTAATCTACGTATGAGCTATCTATAGATCTCTATTCCATGACAGAGGAAAGTCGAATTAGAGATAAACGATCATGACAAGGTTCTTATAAATTAAAATTCATCATGTATTACTGCTAAATGGATCAAATAAAGGATATATGTGGAAGTTAACATCATATTTACATGTAAATTCTGATTTTTAGGCCTTATTTTTTCATCGGACAATTGGTCCTGTATCCTGATTTTTTTTACCGACCCAAACCAAATTTTACCGGTAAAAACCGATGGTCCGGTGACTTTCGCATAGACTGATGGTCATTTACACATACTAGTAGCTATAGATGATCATAAATCAAAGCCTGATAATTTTATGTCTTCAAACAATATTCCCTAGTAGCTCAGTTGGTAAAGCATATGGCATGCTATATTACAATTTAGTATTCACAAAGTTACCTGAAGTAGGAAATCACATGGTGAATAATATGTTATAAGTCACAATGCTTGGTTACATATGAGAGAATGAAGGTAAGAAGAAAAGAGTTTTTTTCTCTTTTAAAACATGAGTGCATGTTTATCTATTGATCTCCTTTAACAAAAATTTGGATGTACAAATATACTACTACCATTCATTGGAGAACAATAGACAAACATGCTCTGAATATGCATATGGTCAATAAAATTAACAAAAAATAAAATGGTCGTCCTCATTATCATATGGAGATTCAAGAAATCGTGTTGACTCCTGCCTAAGGAAATGGATTCACACTTTGTAAATAAAAACTTTAATTTATTGTAATTATGTAAAGTTGCAGTTCAGATGTTTAACCATTCATGTAATTTAAAGAAAAATTCTATTTTTGAAAGCAAATTTTGTATGTCGTTAAGTGCAGTCATCCTTTTGTTATCTTATGTACCTCAGTAAATTCAGAAAAGCTCCTGGTTCTACATCAGGAATTTCAATATCTCCAGTTTGATTGGCCAGACCCCCATAAAACATTGCAAAGAAAACTGAGCTCCCTGTGGCAAGGATATATTTATGTGCTGGTATTCGCTGCTGATTTGGACTGGTCCCAACAAGGAAATGGACATCAGCCATCAGAGGATTGTTAAACATTACGGCATTCCTTTCCCTCACTGTAGGAAGGGTAGCTTGCCAGTTAAACTCCTCTGAAACCTTAGCCGTTGGCAGTTGGGGAGGGGGTGAGAGAGGAATCTGCCATGATGTTTCTTTCTGGCGAACAGGACGTTGCACATTTGTTAATTTACCAACAACAAAGTTTTGTGGCACTTCTTGGTTGACTTCATCGTCTGAGAACTCTCTGTTTTGTTTTAGACAACTTTTAGGTTCATTTTTCTGTGGGCGATCCATCTGAAAAAGATTTTTTTTTCAATTAAAACCCACAATTTTTAAGTTAAATTTAGAGGCAATAACAGGAAATAGAAGTTATATCTGTAACATGTCCTTTCACTCTCTAGTTTGTTATTACCATGATAACAAATGACCACCTGACTGTCATGATATTGTACTGATATAACACATTCAACGTTAATGTTGCATCTAAACACACGTAGCGATCGAAATGTGCGTGTATTCTGTGTTAATGAGTTGGATAATTTGTTCAGATACAATTCATATTATGAGAATATTTACGATAAGGATTATAGAAAATTGGTAAATTATCGGACGCAAATCCCCCCCCCCCCCTTCTCCTTACAAAGACGAACAATTTATCACGTTTGAATCGTTTTATCTTGCGAATATTATTCATTATATCTTAACCGTTTGTATATCAAAATAATATGGATAATCTATAATGAATCCTACCTCAAAGTTTCAAAGAGTCCAAAACTGCACCAACATATTTTTTTTTTCTTTACATGACGTCACAACTATGAACGACAACTGCTGGTGCAGGTGCTTGACATTCCACGGGAGATAACTCAAACCAAATGAATTGACAATACAGCATGGCCGTAGGAACGGGGAGAGGGGGATGCCCCCAATAATTTTGCCGATATATAGAATATAGAAAATATAGCTACTATATGCTTGTGCCCCCCTAAATTAAAACGTCTGATGACATTTTTTTTTTACAGCTACAGTTATATACAGTATAATAAATTCTAATCAAATAAATCTGTATAATTGTGAAATGCTAAAAAAAAATTATTCGATTCATTTATTGCAACACCATGATGATTATACATAAAATAGCATAATAATGGGGAAATTATGTAAATGTCTGTTAAAATTGTTTCTGAAAGTTTCTTGTTAATTTATATTTTTCCAGATCCCTGTTTGTATATTCCAAGATTTGCACACAAGCTTGAGTTTGGTGACAAAACACATGAGGTTTCTATGACTGCACTTCGTCTTGTATCTCGAATGAAGAGAGACTGGATGCACACTGGGAGAAGACCCTCAGGACTATGTGGTGCAGGTGGGTTTAAGATCGATGTACAGTACAGGGGTCCGTTTTACAAAATAACTCCTGGATATCTACAAAAAATATATGTGTAGTCATACTGAATGACCTGTCGTAAAATTTTAATGATGTCCTCTTTTGTGGGTTTATGTCCTGATCAAGGCTGAATTTGAAAATGCACATAATGTTTAAAATCTTCTTTACATCTGATCATCTAGAGTTAGTGCAAAATTTATAAGCAGTGATCATACTGGATAATGAGTCTTTTTTGTTGCACATTTAAAAAAAAATCTTCTCTTCTTTAGAATATACTTAAATTGTTAAACTACTTATTGATACTTGTACAAAAATTAAGTTACATGGTAGAAACAGAGAAGATTTGAATAAAATAAAATAAAAAGAATAATGATTTTTTTTCTCTTTTTCAGCTCTTCTTGTGGCAGCTAGAATGCATGATTTTTCAAGAAGTGTTAAAGACTTAATAAAGATTGTCAAAGTTTGTGATACCACCATTAGGAAAAGGTATGTTTTTATAAAACATTGTTTTCACTGTGTTGTCAGCACTGAGGAGGCAGCTTCCCCGCTGTGTGTGTCTGTTAACGGGAATACATGGAATCCATTATGTTTTTCTGTCATTTTAAGGCAATTAAAATTATTTTTTTTTAAATTGTCATCCCTACCCATGGTTTAAAAAGGATGGGAATATAATTTTTTTTAAATATTGACTAGGTATACGTATAAAAAGGAACATATCCATGCTTTAGTTTTATAGGGAATCAAATTTGTAAACCTATAAAAATGTTTTTTGTTCTCATATCAGCTTAAAATAGTAAGAAAAACCTGAGTAATTTCTTTTAAAAAAATGGAGTATAGATAGTTTAGAAAATAAATCCATCCACCCATCCCATGTTTTTTTTTTTCCAAATCAGAATTTGGAATTTAGAAAACAAGAATCTGGAACATGTGTTTATGTGGCCTTTAAAATATGAAAGTAATTTAGTTATGAAGCATTTTAATGCAGAAATCTGTGAACATTTTAGCAGTTGTACATAGCATTATAGCAGTTATTGCATTTAGCAAACATCAGTGATGATGTAGACCAACCAGTTAGCACAGATCTTGTTAGGGCATTAAAGTTTACAACATTGACTATCAACTTTTAAGGCAATAGCACACACAAAAACACTTAATTGTACTAACAGTACAAGTGAAATAGGAACCGCTGTGTACTGTATGTATTGACACTAACATCTAAATCAGATAAATAGCTTGTTCTTGTAATGTAAGTTAAGAGACTAGATGGAAATTCACAAGTGGTTATGTTTTCTTACAGGATACAAAAATAAATGAAGGAGTTTTTTATTTAGAAACAAAATGTTGCAGATTGGTACATTATTTGTGTATTAAGTTTTGTTAGAGTCTAAATCCAACTCTAATTGATTGAATGCACAACTCAGGATAATTATATTCATGTATACAGGGTATATAAGTATAAATGTATCTACTTGAATGCTGGATTATGTTCTCTGCATGTTAGTTAATACCCCCTGCTCTATCCCCAACTTCTGAAACATTTAGCAAACAAAACAAAACCAGAGTAGGCTATCATATGCTGTGTAAAACAGACATGAGGAAATATGATGTATCCATATCAAATGGAAACAAAGACGGGATAAAATGTTCTTACTTTCTTGGTAAAGTTTATGTAACTCAACAGAGGATGCCTTTTTGTAGATTAACAGAGTTTAAAAACACTCCATCGAGTCAGCTGACAATTGAGGAGTTTCAGACTATTGATTTAGAGGAGGAACAGGACCCCCCTTCTTATACCGAGGGAAAAGCCAAAGCATTGAAGGCAAAACAGCTACAGGTAAATACTTGAAGCAGAGAGAAAGAAAAAACCCTGTGTCCAGTAATCAACATTAATATCACACTTTGGTCAAAGAGACTGAAACACTCACTGCCAAAGGGCATGTAAAATATGTCCCAGAAATTTAAGACTTGAGATTATGATTAATTTTAAAATAATGTTAAGGGTGCAGCTCAGTTTGGGTGGGCACAGTTGTTTATAACAGGATAGCTAAGTCTATCATTTTTAACTTAGAACCGCCCTTCCAAATGACACAAGACATTCTGAAGGTCTAGACTGTGGTATTGCCATTGTTTGTACATTTCATAACAAAGTTTAAACTGCATAGTTTTTAAAAAAAGAGCATTTAAGCATCCATCTATTTGAAATTTCCATTAAAGCAAGGGGAGTTTCTTTTTCATTTGTAAATTTTGGTTGGTTATTGCGAGAACATAGTTTGAGCAAAGGATTGTAGAGTATTGTGGGTCCCTAGTTAATAATTTACTGTCAAAAAAAATTCATTTGGATCAGTGTGCACAGTCTGAATTTTCTCTTCCTCCAGGTGTTGCTTTAAGAGCTAGCAGTGCAAGTGGTGCTTCATACAGCTCACTGCACTCACTTTTAAGAGTGTTATACCCAATATCATTATTTTGATTTCTGCAATTTTTAAAATGCTCAGTAATTGTTACTGTTATAGATTGAACAAGCCATGTTTCCACAAATTGAATCAGAAATGTCTGACCTGCAGAAAGAAATAGAAAAGGGCTTGGTTCCTGTTAAACCTCGGGGAATCTGGGCAGCTTATGCAAGTATGACAGTTTGATAAATATTCTACCATACATGTACATTGGCAAGTTAAAGTAAAGACCAGATACAATTTCCTTTAAAATATTAAAATTAAAATGAGGTCATGATGTGGTCAATGACTCATAGATGAAATGCCTTTTAGATTGAAACTGCCAATATAATTATATATAGTGATTTAGAACCATTTCCACTCAGAAGCCTCACATAGGAAAATTGTACTTAATTTACTCATTAAGCCTGTGAGATAGCTATCAGGTGTTTTTTATCTGTTTAAGATGCCTCCAGTTCACCAGATATAAGTGCGGAAAACTCTCGAGCCAACTCGCCTGACATGGCTGACAGCGAGATAAAAAATGTCAGTGATTTCTTAGAAAACGAGACTCTGAAACCATGTCTGGATGAAGATGACCTTGTTACCAATGAAAAGCCTCTGAAACAGGAAGTAATAATGACGGATAAGAAACCACTGCAGGAAACCATAGGAATGATTGACGTTGTCAAAAAATGTGTCAATAAAGAGGAGGTTGACGAGGATGGTGAGAGAAGATAAAAGATGAAAGTTGGAGAGAAGGAATGAATGGTCAGAGTGGATATGTAAGGAGTGAAAGAAGGATGGTGTACTTAAAAGAATGTGTGGAAAAATACAGCATAATCTCTAGTGTTGTGGTTATGACTGGAGAAAGTTTGATAATTGATAATTAAAAAAGAGTTTTATTTTCTACTTTCGAAAGAGAACAAAATAGATAATTTTAAAATTGAGATTTAATTTCCTTTTTCTAAAGAGAACAAAATACTCACATTTCCAATTGTTGTCTATTTGATAACGCCTAGAAAGTTAATTTCTTGAAATTTGCAACTGAATGTAAATTTCACCAAGTAAAAAGTAAAGTTCGTAATACATGTACATGTACCTATTGTCATTATGTCTGACATTAGTGGGTGAGGACATTAACATGGAATGCCTCATGTATATTATTTCTATGAGACAGCATTTTTGATTTATGTTTACGTTACATATATATAAGAAATCACTGTCTACTTTATTGGGTATGACAGGTCTAAATGACAGTTGGAATTGTGGGATAATTTATGCATAATGAGCTTCGTTCATAATGCAAATTATCCCACATAATGAACTAGCATACCCAACAAACTAGACAGGATTCCTTAATTATTTGTAGCAGAGAAAACAGCTGATGGGGAGTTAGATCTGACCGGGATTGATGATGATGAATTGGAGAAGGTTTGTACTCGGAAATGGCTAAAAAGTCTCAGAAATTGTGTTATCAGGAATAGAACATTATTTTGTAAAAATTTGTCGACAACAAAAAAAAAGGATGATGGAAAACGTTTTAACATTCTGAAAAGACACTGTGTTTAATACTTGAATTATAAAAATAAATTACTACAGAGACAATACCAGAGTGTGTTGTACACATTCTCTTCTGAGAGCAATTTTGAAAAACTTTTAAGAGAAACTAATTCAATACATATACTAAAATTTCAGCAATTTGTGTTAACGGAGGAGGAGATTAAATTAAAAACTAGTTTGTGGATGGCTGAGAACAAAGACTACCTCACTGCTTTGAAAGGTGAGAAAATTTTATCCTACTTAAATTCTGAAGGAAATAATTTTAAGTTGTTTTTTTTTTAAATTAATCCTTAATATCTGTATACTATCACCTGCAATAAGAGTAGAATTTGTTACATTTGCAGGTGGAAAAAAAATCAAGTTATTATTAGTTTCACAGTTAGTTTGTTCCCTAATGAATCATCCAGGATGAGAAATGGAAATCCATATTACGCAAGGCGAAGTCGGATTTTCATTTCACACCCTGAATGACTCCGTATTGATCACAAACTAACTGTTTAAAGAATTTGTCCAGTTAAAGACCTTTACAGTAGAGTTCAGTAACATATTAAATAAGAATATTATTCAAAATATCATTGAATATCATATACCGGTATTCTCAGTATAACATCACCATAGTTAAAGATACAAACTATAAATTTCAACAAACAAATCGTTTTCTTGCAGCCATTTGCTTCTATCAGGGGCCCGTTTTACAAAAGAACTTACAACTAAGACAAAAATTTAATTCTTATTACTTTCCTATTTACATTAAATAGAAAATGGTTTTAATCTTTTTAAAAGGTATGCAGAAAGATACTTTTATTATCATTAATTATGTTCCCCAAACGAAGTTTGGGAACATATTGTTTTTACTCTGTTTCTTATTATTATTATTATTATTAGGTCTTCCATTTTCAACGGAAGACCTATAGTGATTCTACTGTTTCTTATTATTATTATTATTATTATTATTATTATTATTTTTCATTTTTATTTTTCTGACCTTTTCAAATCGCGATATCTCAAAAACTACTCATTCATTTTCAGCCAAATTTTCAGGAATGATTTGTTATCTCATGCCATTTTGAAATATTGAAAAAGTTTGGAAAAATTTACTTCCGGTCGGGAATTATTACGATTTTTCACTTTTTACACTAAAAATCTAGTCCATGAATGTTCTCAGAAACTGTTAAAGGTAGGAGTCTGAAACTTTCAGGTATGATAGAATTTGGTTTGTAGATGTGTGATGGGAACATTTCATGTGTCGTCGTAACTTCCGGTCGTCACAGGAAGTGATTTAAAAAGGGTAATTTTTTGAACTTTTTTGTTTTTCAATATTTTTTTATGATGTTGATAGGCTTAATAAAGAGTTTTACAAGAATGCTAAATATGTAGTTTGTTTAAAAATTGATTAACCCATACTCTGAATATTTATCATTTTTCAATTTTAAGAGACGGTGTTTGATAGTGTAATGGTTAGCATGTTGAATTTTCTAGTGGGCGATCTGGATTCAATCCAAAGAATTTCCGAATTTTTTCTCACTTTTTGAGGCTCAAATATAAGATTTTATCTTAAGGGGGGGGGGGGGGGGGGGGGGCTATGTCTTTAGACGTCAGAGCAGCGGTGTTTGACGGCACAATATCAGCGTGTCTTTTTACTCCCTCATAAAGAGTTTGCAGTTTAATTTTGCACTAATTAATGTGCATAGATGCAATTGTGATATGACAAAATGAGGAAAACATGTTGGTGCAAATGTATATGTAGCTAGATACCTATGCAATTGTATCATAAATTGGAGAGTTGCGGAATTGTATTTTGAAAGTAGAATTTGTTACTTTCTCATGTTGATTGAATAACATATATAGCAATTTCAAATGAGAGAAAAATAAACTTCAATGATATTTTTCTTTGATTTTAGTAGGGCAATATTCCTTTATAGATGCAAGTTACAGAACATAATAGGTATCAGATTCCTTGAGCGTCATATGGCGAGACGTGTTTTGTTGCGAAACATTCCAGTCTTTTCATTAATGTGTTACTAATTGCAATAATCCACTTTGGGGGTAAAGAGGAATATAAAATGTGTAAGAAAATTTAGTGCTGCCTTTATGTTACTTGCCCGTATACGATATGTAATATGTACAGTGTGATAAATATACATTCTTAGACTCGAAAATCAGGCTACAGCAACATATTTTTAAAAATTTCATTGAAGCTATCACGTACTCTTATTCAATTGAAGACACATTCCAAAGAAAAGGCGCGATGATTTACTCGTGACGTTTGGCGCGAAATAATGTATCTTGACCCGCCTTTCACAAATGGTCTGATGCAGTAGTGTAGAAGTACAGAAAAAGATTACACGGACATGTCTGAATTTGGAATTGCATAGAATAGAAAGTTGAATGCATAAAGAATAAAGGAAGTAAACACAATAGTTTTTTTTTTTTAGTTTTTATCAGTAACAGATTATTTTCTCTGCTATCAGTTATTGTTAAAACTCAAGTAACAAATCCGATGTAAATCTACTAGTACTTGCACAAAATTTAGCTGGCAAGTTTTCATCCTATAATTCCACACTATAAGAAATAAAGGTTAACCTGCCTGACACTCGTTACTTCAGGGAATGAGTGCAAGGTAAACATCAATGATGGCTGGTACATTGCGCTAGTGTAGTGGTATCAATATTAAAGAACAAGGTCCACTTAGGGCCTTTTTTGGCCCTGTGAATTTCAGAAAAACTGAAACTTCTTTGACAATGCATTAAATATCATTTAGACCTTTGATGACTGCGTATCTATCAAAATGACATAATTTTCTGGCTAGCCAATGCATTATGACGTCATGAAATGCGACATTTTCCTCATATCGTGAAAAATTCTACAAAACAAACCAATTTTTAAAGCTAATTTTTCGATATTTAATATAGAGCGTAACCTCTGATCTTAAATATGCAACTATAAAATGATAGAACTTTTTCTGAGGATTACAAAACCTGTTTTATTATTTAGATCAGAGGATGCAATCATATTATTTCTCTTCTTTCTTTTTTAAGCTAAAACTTGCATCACTTGATTGCATCTCTTTCGCTGTTTTGAAATATGTTAGATTCCACCGGAAATAAAACGTCAACTTCCGGTCTATTGCTCGGCAACAGTAAACGATTGAAGTCTGAAACTTTCAGGACTGATAGTCAGTGATCAGTTTATTTGAATCGTGACAAAATCTTGTATCGCCGTTACTTCCGGTCGTGACAGAAAGTAATGCAAATAAGGGAATGGTTAATGGTTAGCACGTTGGATTTTCAGGCTGACGACCAGGGTTAAATCTCCAGAGTGTCTGAATGTCTTTTATCACTTTTTCAGTTTGAGTTTTCTTTTTTTCAGAATCGGACGGAAGACCTCTCATTGCTCGCAATGAGTTTCTAGTTAAGGTCTTCCGTTTTCACGGAAGACCTTATAGTGATTCTACTGTTTCTTATTATTATTAAGGTCTTCCGTCTTCACGGAAGACCTTATAGTGATTCTACTGTTTCTTCTTCTTATTATTATTATTTTTCATTTTTATTTTTCTGACCTTTTCAAATCGCGATATCTCAAAAACTACTCAATCATTTTCAGCCAAATTTTCAGGAATGATGTGTTATCTCATGCCATTTTGAAATATTGAAAAAGTTTGGAAAAATTCACTTCCGGTCAGGAATTATTACGATTTTTCACTTTTTCCACTAAAAATCTAGTCCGTGAATGTTCTCAGAAACTGTTAAAGGAAGAAGTCTGAAACTTTCAGGTATGATAGAAGGTGATTTGTAGATGTGTGATGGAAACATTTCGTGTGTCGTCGCCACTTCCGGTCGTCACAGGAAGTGATTTAAAAAGGGTAGTTTTTTGAACTTTTTTGTTTTTCATTATTTTTTTATGATATTTATAGGTTAAATAAAGAATCTTATCAGAATGCTAAATATGTAATTTATTCAAAAATGGATTAACCCGTACTCTAGATATTTATTGCTTGCTACTTTGATACGATGGTCTTTGATAGCGTAATGGTAAGCATGTTGAATTTTCACGCAGGCAACTCGTATTCAATCCCCAGAATGTCCAAATTTTTTCACACTATTGTTTGGGCTCAAATGTAATATTTTATTTATATTTAAAGGGGGGGGGGGGGGGCTATGTCGTTCAACATCAGAGCAATGGTGTTTGACTTCACAATGGCACTGTGTCTTTTTACTCCTTCATAAAGAGTTTGCAGTTAAATTTTGCACTATTCAATCCCCAAAATTCCGATTTTTTTCACACTGTTGATTGGGCTCAAATGTAATATTTTATCCTTAAAGGAGGGGGGGGGGGGGGGGGGGGCTATGTCGTTCAACGTCAGAGCAATGGTGTTTGACTTCACAATGGTACTGTGTCTTTTTACTCCTTCATAAAGAGTTTGCAGTTGAATTTTGCACTAATTAATGTGCATATGTGTGTGATATGACAAAATAAGGTAAAAATGTTAATGTAGCTAGGTACCTATGAAATTGAATCACAAATCGGAGATTTGTCAAATTAAATTTTGAAAGTAGAATTTATTATTTTCTCATCTTGATTGAATAAAAATAGCAATTTCAAATGAGAGGGAACTTCAATGACATTTAGTTTAGAGCAAGATCCGTCATAATTAAGAGCTCAAAGCGACTTAGCGAATAAAGGTATGGTTAATTAATGGTATACAGTATTAACACAATGAATCACATAAAAATCTGTATACTTGAAACAGTATTTGAAAAAATATGCTTTCACGTAAAGTGTCAATCATTTTGTTATGCGTGTGTGGTGCTGACTCGGGGGGGGGAGGGGGGGGGTAACCTGAAATGCATGAAATCGGGTCTTAAATTAAAAAAAATATTTAACATAATTTTATATTTTGTACAATTAAGTGTGAGAATCTCAAAGTTTAAAAAAATTCACACAAATATGTTTTGGAACATAGGTCCTCCCCCCTCCTTAAAATGATATCTCGTATTTTTTTCATTCCAGTTTTGCAATATTTTCAAAATATAAACGTTTAATTATATTTTATGTATGATTGATTGATTGATTATATGTTGATTTAAGTCCCATTCGAGAATTTTTCACTCATATAGAGACGTAACCACCGGTGAAGGGCTTCAAATTTAGACTTTTACTCGGCACTCAGGGCCATTGAGCAGTGAGGGATCTTTATCGTGCCAACACCTGCCGTGACAC